CTAGGGGTGGAGAAGCGGAAAGTGAAAGTGAGGAGGGCGATGATAGCGAAAGCGAAGAGGACGATGATGATGGAGAAGAGGATGTTGAAGGCCATGAAGAGCGTTTCTCACTTGATATGTACTTGATATCATTGAGATATTTTCTCTTGAGCTGGCGATAGGGTATACTATTAAAATTATAAAAAATAAAATTAATGGTCTATTTTATTTTATTGTCTACTTGCAGCGACATACCCGTATAGATATGCTACAAGCTGCACTTAATGGTAAAGTATTAACCGGGGAATCCAGATGTTATGTACAGGCCGCTCATGATATGTTATTGAATAACACTGCTGTAGAGACAGGAGACAACGCAAACTAGGGGTGGAGAAGCGGAAAGTGAAAGTGAGGAGGGCGATGATAGCGAAATCGAAGAGGACGATGATGATGGAGAAGAGGATGTTGAAGGCCATGATGATGGTGAAAGCGAGGAGGAAAATGAGAGGAGAACAAAGAAAAAAACTTATCAGTTTCAAGTGCCGGCGTTGCAAGAGGAATCGATGTGGAATTTGCGATCGCAAAAAGACAGCAATGCCATGAGGGAAGGATTATGGAGGAATCCGATGAGAGGGGATAGGGTGTTCTTAGTTGGCCAAAAAAATGGTTGAGCCGGAGAAAGTGACATTTTTTTTTTGGTTTGATATGTATGTTTTAGATAAAGTATATGATATTGATTTTGATGCAATGTTTCATATGCATTTTTGAATTTCATATGAATGTTCGAAACATATGTTAAATAAGGATATGGTTGGTATACATTTTGATGTTTAGCTTGATAAATATTTTTTAGTTTGTTATGCATTTTTAAAAAGGAAATGGTTCAAAGATAGTTGGATATCTATGTTCTTTGTCTTTATTAATGATGATGGTATTTGGTTTCTCTCCCTAAACTGTAACTCTATTACAAATTATTTGTGATTACAAAACGGATTTAGCCATCAAATCCATCTGCCACTTAGAAACAGTGTCACCACCACCTAAAGCAACATGCAACTCCAGTTCCCTTTATTATTAGCTAATATGTAACACCATCAAAAAGTAAAAAGGAACAAAAAAAAAAATAGGTTGAGGGACACAAAGAGAGTGTGATCCAGCAGAAAGAGTTTTTGGAAAATAAAAAGGGTCCAGCAAATATACAGGATAGTCCGGCACATCACACTCGTGCTCCGACGTACATGTTGATGTAATTAAAGGGCTTCGAGACTGTGTAAGTTTGGTCTAGCAGTAAATCTATCCGGAGTCACAGGGCTCCGACACTGTGTAAGTGTGGTCCGGTAGTAGATCTTTCTAGAGTCATAGGGCTTCGACACTATATAAGTGCAATTCGGCAGTAAATATTTCTGGAGAGATAGGGCTCCAAAACTATGTAAGCACGGTCCCGGAGTTGATCTTCTGGAGTCACAGAGCTAAAGCACTATGTAAGTGCGGTCCGGCAGTAAATGTTTCTGGAGTCACAGGGCTCCGATACTATGTCAATGCGGTCTGATAGTAAAACTTTTGCAATCACAGGGCTCTGGCACTGTGTCAGTGCAGTCTGACAATAGATCTTTTTCGAGTCACAAGGCTCCAGCACTGTGTAAGTGCGGTCCGATAGTAGATCTTTCTGAAGTCATAGGGCTCTGACACTTTGTAAGTACAGTCCGACGGTAGTTACGTTTGGAGTTACATGGCTCTGGCATTATGTAAGTGTGGTCCAGCAGTAAAAATTCTAGAGTTACAGCGATCCAGCAGTTGCAAAGGGCGGTCTGATTCCAACGCTCCGGCATTATGTAAAGGGCAGTTCGATCATACTCAATTTCGGTCTGGTAGTTGCCTTTGTAGGTCCGACAGTATATGTATTAGAAATACGTGATCCAACATTTCCTTAGGTTGTCTGGCACTTAAGTTTCTGGAATTATGGTCCGACAATGCGATAGCACACTCCGGCAATGAGCTACTGGTGTCTGAAAGTTAATGTCAAATCTGGCCAAAATGATTTTTGTGTATGGGAAGGGCATTTCATTCTAAAAAAATGAACTTTTTCCATTAGGGGTACTTGCATAAAGTGAATTTTGGGTAAAAATTAAAAAAAAGAAATAGGTTGGGGTAAGTTGCCTAAAAGGTGTAGTCTTGGGAAACTTTTTCTATTATTTTGGGATTGTATACGAAACCATTTACTTTTGATACACGATGATTGTCACAATTCCTTATAACCATTTGATGTGAAAATTGATAGTTTGGATGTGTTACAAAGTTTAAAAAAATTTCTTTTGAAGTTTGAGCTCAGTCAATGAAATAATTGTAGCCACCTAATTTCACATCCAATGATCGAGATTAATGTGAACATCTTGGATCAAATATAAATGGTCCCAATCTATACTTTCCTATTTGGTTTGGTCTCATTCTATGCTTTCCTATTTGGTTTTTGGTGACAGCGCATTCCAGAGTGAAGAGCAAGGGTCGTATCTCGTGGAACTCCCACCATAGAGGGAGAGTTGGAAAAGGGGAGAGAAAGAAGAAAGAGATGGAAGGAGGAGAAAGGGAGAGTTTCGAAGAGGTAGATTAGATTGGGTGTGGAAGAAAATATTAATCAGTTGTGCCCTCTTTGAAAGATGTCTTGCTTCCAAATCACTCGCGCTGGGTGTCATGCAAAAGAACACAAAGTTATTCGGATTCACTCCTTTTTATTATCTTCTGATTGAAATTTGAATCGTTCTATCTCTTTCCATTTTGAATTAATTTATATTTTAATTTTTTTCAATAATTTCCATTACTTTCTTATTCGTAATTTTTGGGAACTATATGTGATAATTTTCATGGATGCTTTTGTTTGTGTTTTTGTCCTACTTTGGATCCGATTTGTGTTCCACAGTTACTGCAATTGTTATTGTTTTGCTTTTCTTATGAATCGCATTGATGTTATTTACCAGGCTTTTGTTTCCTTAGCATAATAGGGTTTTGCTGTGAAATATTTTATATACCAATTGTTGGTTTTCTAGTTTTTTTTTTTTCTTAGTGTAATTTATTTTTTGGATCGGTAGTGTGGATTGTCCAGTTTTATAGCTAACTCTGTTGAATAAAAAATCTATACATTTTGTCTCTGAAATAATTTATTTTATTGGAGCTGGTTCATCCTCCTGTTTTTTTTTTTTGTCTGAATTGTTTTCCCTATTTTCATTTTCTTATGAAAAATAAATAAATAGGATGTGGGTGGTCTCTCTCGATCTTTCTCTAGGGGCCCTGACCGTAATATCATCAAATGACTGCGTTGTTCAGTATTTATTAGAAGAGTAATGATACTATAGGACTCTTTTCACCCAGGTGTGTGGGATTCCAAAGGATCACCATTAAAATTGACACGAAGTTTTAGAAAAGTTATCATATCGGTGTGAGACTTGATTTTCTATAGATCCATGCTAAATTTAATGGTGATCTTTTGAGGTCCTACACACATGTGTAGACGAGGATCCTATTGGATCATTTCTCTTAGTAGAAAATTGTATTACTATTGCAAATCTGTGATTTATTTATTTTTTTGCTGACACGCATGCGTGAGTAGCAATGGACAGAGATCCTTTCAATGAAGGCCCTTGTTGATTAAAATTTTCTGTTCTCTCTTAATTGATTGCCTTGTCACCAAGATTGAATGATTTGGAGTGCACATATTCTTGGACGATTCTATCTTTTGCTCTCAGCAGGATGACAGGTTATTGTATTAGTTTCTTTTCTTCTTTTGTTCTTATTTTCTTTGACCCTACTTTTTAAGTCTGAAATTGTGAATGTGGTTATTATGATTGAAAGGCCTCCAATTGGGATTGATTCAATTGTAGGTACTCAGTGACAGGCTTAGTTAATGTGCCCTCTGTCTCCTTCCATATTTTCTTGACGGACACTGGTAACCTCTTGCGCATTTGCTTTTTTGGAATGCATAGCATAACTTCTGGTTCTTGACTGATGCATGCATTTTTCTTTTTGCTCACATACATATGTATTTGTTTTGCAATTTCATTTTTGACAATCATTAGTTAATTTACTGCATTTTGAAGGAATTTGAATTAATTTATAAGTGCGTAGATGACTTGCTTTGTTAGATACTTTTATATGTGTTATATCGGACATGTAGTAAACAACATATTCCAGAGTAATGATTTCATGCAACCTGTATAGTAATATGATGCAATAACTTTAAAAAACCATCTTATGACCATTTGTTTGATCCAAATTTTGAAATATACACTCTTTTCATTTTAATGATTAATCATAAAAAAAGAAAAAAATT